TAATTTCATGTTTATTACAGTGTTCAGCGTTGATTAAAAGTTTCTCAGAGATTTGACATGTGTGGACTTTATCGGGGAGACACTTCCGTGTGATCGTGTCCTTTTCTATGTTCTCCAAACGCCATCAGCCATAATTATGAATCATGGCTGTTAAACATATTGATTCTCTTTCTTAATTACAGATGTTGTGAAGGCACATTCTGTTTTTCTGAACAGATGTGGTAAGAGGCAGTGGAGGCAGAATGGAACACAAGCCTCATCTGGGCAAAGGGGTCTTGTCTTTGCCATTATGCTTCTTACGGTCTTCTTTGGAAATGAATGAACATGTGCATCACGCGCCTCTTTGTAACTCAGAGCTGGGACATTAATGACATCAAGAGAAGCACTTTCAATGAAGAAAGAGACATGTAGCGTCTCTCTCGCTCTCCCCTCCTGTCTGCTGCTAACTGACTTGGTAAGCGCAGCAAATTGAGGGGCTATTTTTATTCCAAAAGCAAAGCCGAGGGAGGCGACCGAGTCCATTTAGAAAAGCCTCGCCTGAAGGTGAGGCTTCTAAGAGACAGATAAAGCCACGGTTTTCCGTAGGAAAAGATTTAAGAAGCCCTTTTTATTTATTTATTTAGGCTTTCTCGTGTCAAGAGTTGAATTTGGACTGAAGGTTGCCTTAGAAGTCAACACGGAGATGCAAAGTTTGTTTTATTGTGGAGTCAATGCAGCTGGTCTTCCAAGACTTCATTTAAAAAAAAGACTCAAAGAAGTTTCGAGTTGTTTTGCACTTTGCATACATACCGCCGTCTGTTTTCCAAAGATAGCATTGTGATCGTACGAAGGAGCACGTTGAACGTTCATAAACATTACTGCATTCAATCGGCACAATCACCTCTCAACAGATCTGCAAGATCTGCAAAAAGCCGGGCGGTGCAGAAACATGCGATGGGAAAAAAATGGGATTTGCACACTTGATTGATGTTGTTTTAATATCTGCTTTCCCTCTCGTCGTCCTCCTGCCAGCAGTAATTGGCACGTTCCCTTCTGAGGACGGCTGACAGCCAGCGCTGAGAAGGATGTCATTTCCTTTGGTCTCAGTCTCAAGTTTAAATTAGCGTTCTTGTCAGGAAACCAGACACTTGGAAAACATGCCCGTGTGAGGATAAACTGTTTTGACACCTCTGAAGACTCAGAGTGAACTTTTAAATAGAATTTGATAGCAGATAGTTAAAACAGAGAAAAAGCATAAACATTATTGAGGTTAGAAATGATAAGAGTGCTGACAAGGACACGGCAGAGACTAACGTGGCTCTTTAACATATAACTGTTCACGTTGAGTATTTGTGGGTTGGAATGTTATATTATATACAATGATATATTATATCTTTTACTGTGACCTTTAATGAACATTTTGTTTGTCTGAGACAGAAAAGGAAAATGTGTGGTGAATAAAAGGGAGAACATGTTTTTGTTATTGTATGAATTTAACATATTTTCGGAACTTTTGCATTGAAAATGTCTTGGGTTTGAGTGCAGCGTGTCCACATGTTAAAGTTCCCGTCAATCTGCGCTCAGTGGGCATCGACTCTCTCGTGGCATGAATTTTTTATCATTCAAAGGAACGGCTAAGCTGACCTTTCTTTCAACCATGCGTGACATTCACATCCCGATGTGATGTGAAGAAATCACCTCAAAGAGATGTACCAAAGAAGAAGAAAATAACCCACTGCTACAATACATTAAAAGGCAAAAAGACAAAGTGATGTACCATTAATAAACTAATGTGACCAGAGTGTGTCTGTTTTCCACTGCACAGGAGGAAGAAATGAAAGGACAAATCTGTGCAGACAAACGGGAGCCGTCCCCAAAAGGCCTATAATTATAATACAAAATATTAAATTCTTAGATCAATTTGGAGGTCACAGCGTGTCACGTTTGTGCCAATATTGCTACTATAATGCAATTTATTGTATAAAAGCATAATGCACCTTACCACCTCTTTAACAACCTGCTGAGTATTCAATTAATATTGGCACTTAATATTCACTTAATAATCTAACTACATGAGAAGATTATACACAAAATCTTAAGGTTGCCTAAAAACAAGCTTCTATGAACATCTGAAAGTGTCAGACAAATTGCCTTAAAGTCCTAAATCAAAGCCTCAGCAGAGGTGTGCGTCGTAATATTAGCTCTCCTCGTGTACTTCATGCTGTAAATAAACACGTTTTTTTCTTTCAAATCAGCTGACAAAGGAGCTGTTGAGACTTTGAACACCCTTGGAAGCAGCTCCTGTTTAGTCAGAAGATTAAAAAGGTCAAACCAGGTTTTCTTCAAGTGTGTTCACGACTCAAAGGAGCACGAATGATCCCCCATAACAGGAAGCTGGTGCGTTGGCTCTGCACTCGTAATCAGTGCTGCCGTTCAATAATCTGCAAAACACACTTGGCCTCCCTTGCATTAATTCACAGCGGTGGCTGTGCAATCGAACTAACTTTGCAGGAACTTTGGCCCTTAATAGGGAAATAAAAGTTGGACGAGCGGGGACCAATATGTCACCGAGCTCCCTAATGACTAATTTGTACTTTAAATGGACCTGAACAATCATTTTTCTTTGTATGTGCAGATAATATGAAAAACCTGAATTCCTTTGGATGCAACTGATTGAATGTGATGACATCAGATACTTGTTTTCCCCTCGCTTGGACCACTGTGGTTGGACCACTGCTCTGCTGGGAGCTGGTTGGCCTTCCTATTACTGAGGTGCATGCAGGTGAACCTCCATAAAATGAAATTTTGCATCCGCATGAATTAAAAAGCCTTGTAAATGCTGAAGGACAATACTAATGACATGAAAATGTGATTTTTTTTTTGAGAAACACGCCTATCCTGCCGATTCAGTGACTTCCTTTGATCAACTTTTGATTGAGAGGTTCGCCTCATCGATCCGACGGTTCCCGAGGGAGACTTTCCCTCTTGCTGAGTCGGCGCTACGTCATGCTTTATCAAGTGAAAAATAGAACAGAGAGTTCCGACGTTGACATATCTAGAAAATGTAAATCAAATAAGAGATATTTCTGGACACACGGATCAGAGAAATGAAGCTGCTGAGGTTGAGCTCAGGTTCTTTGTGCAGAAGTTCATGCAGCCACTAATTCAGACACAATGCCTTCATCACACCGCCCCCACGTCTGTGGTAACAAGCTGCGCTCTTAAAAGCAGCGCAGCACTTCTGACCTTTAGCAAACTTCCCTTCAGGGACACTTATCGTTGACTCCTGAAACTGCGTCTGGTTGCCAAGTATAAACAAGTGTATCCATATAAAATGGGGCTGCCAGAATATCAAGCACCAAAATATTTGCTATGAGGGCAGAAAGCCAGTCATATTTTAGAATATTTGTAAATAAATGCTAAATGTGTGTTATGTGAGCAGAGAGTTTGGCAACCTGAGAGCTACAGGCTGCAATAACTGAGAATCAGTAATGCAAGGTCAGTTACAAAGAGCTATGAATGTGAGAGGTGAAGAGCTGAACAATTTCTTTGAGTGCACATTTCAGCTCAAGTGGGTGAAAGAGTTTCTTTGCTGTATCACTTTTGGTCTGTTTACCATAAGACGCGCGTCCAGCTCGACTGTAGTTGGTTCTAATGTGAAGATGTGCGAGCCGCGAACAGCTGCTGTACGATGGTCTTCTTCATCAATGCACTTGGAATACAAGCAGAGTTGCGTGTTCTCTTGAACCTGAAAACACCACAAATAAATCAAGTGAAGACACAGCCTTCAGACACTGGTGGGATTTGATGCACCTTTTATCAGACAAAATGAAAGCCGGCGAGGTGTTGCAGAAACAAGCCTCAGGGAGAGACGGACCTGTCCCTTAAATACTGATGAGGATCACTACCACCTGCGTCCCAGGGACACTAACCGGCCCGGGATGAGCCATAAAGCTTCCGTCAAGAAATAAAACGTGCACTTCCTCCCGTTCCAGCGTTCCCATAGCTGCGTCGTGATGAAGAGGGGATGAAAGCGTGCAGGCCGCACTAAAAGTTAACCTTCAAATCCGATTAAAATGCCTGACAAGAAAATAAAACGCTTTGCCCTTCACTGATGTGTCATTAGTTAGTCAATGCTGCAGGAAACTTCAGTCAAGGGAACAGGACAACTCATTCATCAGCACCTCCGGAGGCGGTGACAAGACAAAAAGAATCAACATACATAAGTGAATGAGGACAAAGGATGTTAAAGTTGTTAAAGTTGAACTATGAAATTACTTTATGCGAGGAGGCAGTGCCGACAAATTTAGAAAAATGGTGTAAGAAGTGTTAAAACTCTGTGCGTATTCTTTCTTTGGGGTGAAATGAGCCGAGATGGGATCTAACATGTTGTGGGTCTACGCTGACATCTGGTGGAAGATGTGCGAGAAGGCCGATTGTACAGTTTTTCTGACAAATAATCCGTCAGTTATTAATGTACTTATTAATATAAGTGAGGTTGTAGATATCAAAAAGTCTGGGATCAAAAAGACTTTTTCTAGTGACCAAGAAACAAAAAATCCCTCCTCGGTGGGTCCCGGTTTCTTCTTCTCTGCTTGGTCATTCTCAAACGATGACGTAACCAACCAGCTCGGCTTCTCCGCTCCACCCGACCATTTGGATGCACCTGTTGGTCACGTGACATCGTGTCCAACCAAGATGGCGACAGCCAGAGATCCTACCCTCAAATGACGTCTGTTGAAGCACATGAGGCTGAAACAACCACGTTCAGTACATATTCGGACCCGGTTAGGGGAGAAGAATTCAAATAGTTGAATCGAATTTTCTTAGAGTTGAACTGGTGTGGAACTTTTAGTAGCCAGCCGGCTGCCGGCCTCGCAGGCTGTGATTGAAGTGGCGCCGGTGGGCTCAGCGCGCTGATGAGAGTCTGCTGAGATCGTAGTCGGTGGGTCGGGTCTGATTAAAGATGTACAGGTGTCATGTAGGTGTGAAACCTTCTGGCTCAAACAAAGACAAACCCGACAGGTATAAGTAGAGGTTTTATTATCTCCTCTCTCATGGCGTTGAGCAGTGGTGTGTAATGAGTCTGCCCATCATTTGAAATGCTTTTGAACCGCCACTACTCTAAATTACTCATACAAAGACATTTTATATCTATTTGTTATGAATAAATGCCTTGTTTTGTATAAAGATCGAGCATTCGTTTTAGCGTGCGCACTTTTTCCTTCATTTCTCCGGCTTCCGGCTCGAGGTAGCGGATCCTTTCCCAGGGGACCTTGGGAATTGCTCCATCAGCGAGTGTACACAAGCAAAGGGCGGTGGAGCATTTTAAACACGCTGGAAATTGCTTCATGTGTTACACAAAAGGAAAAAATAAATATACAAAAGCATAGAAAAATAGACTCAAATATACATTTCTACAAAGCTTTCAGCATTTGCTCAAAACTACTAATTGGATGCAATCTGTGTTCCATGTTATAGGCTTTCTCCAAGAAAAATAATACCACCATCTTTCATGTTCACAGTGATTTTGCTTTGAAACAAGCAAGACGCACAAACACTGAGACACCGCTGTGAGACAATTCAGTCAGAGAGACACACACACGTCTCTTACATCCTTTCTCTGTTCGTGGATTCCACCGTTGAAAAGAAAAGGCATCTGGTCAGCCTCTCTACAGGTGGTTCAGTCTCACTCCTCCTTCCTTCATTCCACCTGTAAAACCTTCATCTGGTGTCGCACCGGGGAGCTTTTCTCTGAGCCTGTTAGCTGCAGGAGCTCCCGGCTCCCTCACACTGGATGACGGGATCATCCGTGATCACGAAGGGACGCAGGACACGGCCGGGGGCCCTCGCGCTCACAAGGAGGGATTTCGTTGGTGAATCTCGTTGAGGAGCGCGTCGCTGTTGGAGCCGTCGCTTATTCCGCTGTCCATGAACACGGAGTCTGCGGGACGCCAACGGGACGTTATGAATGTTTGAGGTATAAAGTCGGAGATGCAGGTCAGAGATGGGAACGTACCGCTCCCGCTGGTGAGGACGCTGATGACGGAGGCGCTTCGGGGGGTGGCGTTGGCCGTGTAGGTGGAGGTCGTGGCGACAGACATCCCCCGTTTTTTGTTGATCTGGGTGGCCGTCCGACTCCAGTCTGCAGAAAGGTGCATGAGACCAAGCTGGTGTGAGTTTGTTGAACTAAAAACACATTATTCATTAAGCAAAACACCATTTGGTGTGGTACCATAACATGTGGACACATTGAATCGAATGAGAACACGTGTCCCATTTGAATTATCAGAGGTACAGGACTACAGGCGGGTGCCCACCTGAGTTTTCAGCCAATCGCAGTTTCCCGCAGCAAAGGTAAGTTCTCCACTGCCGGCGGACGCTCTCTTTCACGGCACAGTGGAAAATGAAGACAAAGAATCCTGCAGAGGAAAAACCAACGGACACATTTGCATATTAAGGTCTGGCTTACATGGATGAAACTATTGTTACATTGTGGTCTGGAACATAGCGTATTCACCCTGCAGAGAGTTGAATATAGTGAAGAGGTAGACAAAGGGCAAGTAGAGGGGTCCCCAGGCGAACAGGGAGAACCCCCAGGTGAGGCCCAGCAGCACGATGAGGCCAACGATGCTGCGCATGTCTTTCATCACCCCCCGGTTGGGAGCCTGGTTATGGGGGTTCTGCTTTTTGATCCGGGACAGTTGCATCAGGACGACGATGAAGCACAGCAGGCACAGACAGAAGACCAGGAGGAAGTAGGCCACCACGCTCACATAGAAGGCGATGTCGTTACGCAGCCAACAGCTACAGGGGGGCAGATAATCACACAGAAAAGTTCAAAATACAAAAATGAGGGGGTTAGAGGCGGAGAAACAAGGCGGTGCTCTGCTATTTGACCGGAGGAGCAACAGCTGGAATCCGTCTACTGTCGCCTGTCGCTGCAGGGGGCGCGAATTGAAACTATATAAATTATATAAATAGAAATATAGTTCCTTTTTACTACTGCATTTATAAATAAGATAACTGGCCAGTGTCTAATCACAGCTGTAACTGTGATCAGATCAAGCAAGGTTCAAAACTAACTGATCATTATTAATCATTTAGTTAGGTCACAGGAAATGTATTGTACTGCTCTATTATTAAAACAGAAAAAATCTAATATTACTTACAAGTCATTAGAAGTGTCATTTCTGTATTTTCCATAAGTTACCAGACCGTAGTTGTCTTTGTCCACTGATATTACCACTGTCACCACCAGAAGTGGAATACCTGCAAAGAAACATGATGTCAAGGAGCTTAAATATCGAGAAATATCGAGAAAAATGAAATTCAGAAGCCGTGTTACTCACCCCACCCCAGCAGGGAGAACTTGAGCATGTATCTGCTGAGGTAGGGCGTAAACACCCGGACGATGCTCAGGTACATGTGCAGGGCCTCAAGCCCCGCCCAGGTGAATGATGTCAGCAGGAAGTAGTGCAGGAAGAAGGCGGTGCTAATGCACAGCCCAGGCGCTGTGAAGAGTGCGAGCCAGCCGTCCAGGAGGAAGACCAGGTTGAGGAGGAAGAGGGACAGGCACAGCTGAACCAGGATCTTGGCAGGAATATCTCGCAGCAGTTTACTGAACAGAGTTTGTTAGAATGCATTTAGTTCATTTGAACTTTGAGGTAAATCTTAAATTCAAGTCCTGGTTAAGACGTAGATTCTTACTCAAATGACAAATATGTCAGTAAGGTGAGGGCGAGGAAAATGGTAGAGATTCCGCAGCCGATGTAAGTGATGAAAGTGAGGATTTTCAACTGCCCAGGGTCAATTGATGTGTCTCTGGACAAATCCTGCAGGACGCCCACAAATACACAATGGATGCACAGGAGTCACGTAGAAAAAGATAGAGTCAGTATAAAGTCAGAGGTTTATTGATACTGTTATTGTCGATAATTAAAAACGACACTAACCAGCAGAATTGCAAACGACGTGAGATGGTTGCAGCTGCAGGTAGTTTCTTCTGCTGTGGCATTGACAACAGAGCAGCCAGCAGAGCTCCAGTGTCCTGTACCATCTGAATCGGAGAAACGCAACGAACATGGATGTTAATTCTGCTGGAAGTTCAACTTAACCCACTCGAATTAGCGTGGACACAAACTCACCTGTTATTTGCCAAAAGACACAGGAGGCTGTGTAGTTCTCCTGGGAACAGATTGAAAAAAGTTAGAAGTACTTTTTGAGTAATCTGTCAATACTTTAAATATTTCTATTTAAGTTTATTTGAAGGGAATTTACAGGTATTTTTTTTTGTTTACTCTAAACCTACTTTATTTTGTCTGAGCAATGCAATTACTTGTGGAATTTTTAACCATTCCAAAAAATATGATCTGAACTTAACTGCATATTCCAAACGTTTCAAAGCAAACCTTTTTTGGACTACAGTCCAAGTTTGGAACACACGTTTAACAAGTAAAAGATAACGGTTGTGCTTAAAGTCATCGATCAACTTTTGGTTTCACATGGGACTTAAACAAAAGTAGTGTCCTGGGAGAAAGTTCATCCCTATGCAAAATTAGTTGATTAAAAATTAGGTTTTGTTGTTTAGTAATTGAGTTGTGTGAGATTACTTTCTTGATAAATGGGACTATAAGAAAACCATGGTTTGTATGCGTGTGCACACTCACTCGCATGGGGTCGATGTTTCGGATGGTAAACTGAATGTTCTCCGCCAGGTTACTTATTGACAGATTGGCCACACTGGCAGCCAGAACTGGACTGACAAGGGTTTTGGTATCTAATGATGCATCCTGCACAAAAAGAGACGAGCATGTCAGAATTTCCTTTTTTAAAAGCAAATGCTAGAAACCTAACTGAGAAAAGTTAGTTGCTGGTTCTAAATCATTGAATGAAGAGATAAATGCTGCCATATTACAACCTGATGAAAGTACCTGGAATAAGGCTGATTTGGTGTAGAAGTTGAACTGGACCCTGTTGGCCTCCTTCTGCTGTTCAAGACTTAGCCCATTGGTGAGGGAGGAGGGCAAGAATACTGACCCCAGAGCAGACCCGGACCTCTTGGACCGGGATCTACTGAGGGCACGGAGCTGGACAACGTAAAATTGAGAAGCGGTTAATGGAAAGCGTTGGACCTTGTTCCACCTGGTTAAATGCCAGTAAGAATTGGTGTATGAGGCTACCTGGGATTTTTGTTCACAAAAATGTCAGTGAAAAGAAGAATAAACAATGATATCAGATTATTATTTGACAAAACAGAATTCCCAAGTGCATGTATGGACCACTTTTGAAAATTGAAAGTAAACGATTAATGACATAAATTCGCTCGTCAGATCTGTTTCTTGCATAAGACCAAGCGTCTTTTTTTTAAAAAGCAGTGAGAACAGATGGCTAACTTAAAATATACCTGGACATTATCGGTGTTGAAAATATCAACAGATGTTACTGGAAAGTTGGTCCCATCGACTTCCCTCACAGCCAGAACCAGCGAACCTGCAGAAAGGATCTCTGTGTCGCCAGCGACTACCAGTTTAATGCCCAGATCGTCTACCAGGCGAATCAGCCTGTATGCGGAAGACCAAACATTTTAGATAAATGTCTGAGTTTGTCCATGTGGGTTGAGGGTAGTGTGAGTTGCACCTGTTAGCAGATGCAGACAGGGCCAGCGTGTTGCCCCCCATCAGGTTGCTTATTATGTTGACAACATTTTGTCCCACAGCCTTAGAGACTGTGGGGCCTTCCAGAAGCTTCTCCAAGTCTCCCACCAACTTTGCCACCTGCAACATTTATGAAATGATAAAGTTTACTATAAAAAAAATTACAAGAGCATTGTTCAATACTAAAAAAATGTCCACAACTTCAATATATCAATAGTTTCACCTGAGAGGAGTTTAGGTTAGACGCATCCCTTGTTTGATCCAGCATCTGTTTGGTTTGTTCCTCCTGGGCCGCTTGGCTTAAGGTAGTTTTAGATGTAGTACCTGTACCTTGGCAAGTGACAAGAATCAATTATTGACATATAGTGGACAAAATCTGATAAATGTAGACGTGAATAAAGTTTGCTATTTGAGACTATGATCTAAAACTCCTATTCTACTCCAAAGAGATCCAAGTGGATGAAGGAAAAGTCTATTCTTGTAATGCCTTAATCCATGGAATACAAATTGCATCTACTAACAAGTAATTTCAACTATAAAACTTTTGAAAAAAGCTAGCTTTTCCAGCTTGTTGGACCAAAACAGTTGTTGTCGACAAAGTCAAGGAAAGCTTTGACGTGGTGGTGTTAATTTTGTGCAGAACAGTAACATTTAGAGTTGTTGTTGTAGCGTCAAAAGGAGTGACTGTAGATGTCAAATGTCACCTGGTACTCCCGTTGTCAGGTTCCAGTCTGCTGTTGAACTGCTTGCAGTCGAGCTTAGATTGGAGATGATTCCAACACTTTGATTGTGATTGATGGTGATACTGACAGGGGAAGCAGCTGTTAGGTTATCATTTCCGTGGGTTGTTGTGATGTTGGTCACTCTCGCTGTGGTCTGATTTACAGTCTGGTTGATAAGTGGAGCTCCTATTGTTTCGTTGGTTAAAGGTGAGACTGTTGTGACATTCAATGTTGTTGTGTTATTCAGAGAAGGTGTGACTGTTATGTTGACTGTTATGTTGGATGTTATTGTTTTATTGGTTGATGGTGAGACTGCTGTTGCATTCAATGTTGTTGTGTTATTCAGAGAAGGTGTGGCGGTTTTGTTGGATGTTATGGTGTTATTGGTTGTAGCTGAGACTGTTGTGACATTCAATGTTGTTGTTGTTGTGTGATTTGTTGAAGGTGTGACTGTTACGTTGGATGTTGTTGTTTCATTGGTTGGAGGTGAGGATGTTGTGACATTAAATGTTGTTGTGTGATTTGTTGAAGGTGTGACTGTAGTTATGTTGTTTGTTGTTGTGTCATTCAGAGAAGCTGTGACTGTTATGTTGGATGTTGTTGTTTTATTGGTCGAAGGTGAGACTGTTGTGACATTCAATGTTGTGTTATTCAGAGAAGGTGTGACTGTTATGTTGGATGTTATTGTTTTATTGGTTGAAGGTGAGAGTGTTGTGACATTCAATGTTGTTGTGTTATTCAGAGAAGGTGCAACTGTTATGTTGGATGTTGTTGTTTCATTGGTTGAAGGTGAGACTTTTGTGACGATCAATGTTGTTGTGTGATTGGTTGAAGGTGTGACTCTAGTTATGTTGTTTGTCGTTGTGTCATTCAGAGAAGGTGTGACTGTTATGTTGGATGTTGTTGTTTTATTGGTTGAAGGTGAGACTGTTGTGACATTGAATGTTGTAGTGTCATTAAGAAAAGGTGTGACTGTTATGTTGGATGTTATTGTTTTATTGGTTGAATGTGAGACTGTTGTGACATTCAATGTTGTTGTGTTATTCAGAGAAGGTGTGACTGTTACGTTGGATGTTATTGTTTTATTGGTCGAAGGTGAGACTGTTGTGACATTCAATGTTGTTGTGTTATTCAGAGAAGGTGTGACTGTTATGTTGGATGTTATTGTGTTATTGGTTGAAGGTGAGATTCTTGTGACATTCAATGTTGTTGTGTTATTCAAAGAAGGTGTGACTGTTATGTTGGATGTTATTGTTTTATTGTTTAAAGGTGACACTGTTGTGACATTCAATGTTGCTGTGGTTGTGTTATTCAGAGAAGGTTTGACTGTTATGTTCGGTATGTTGTTGTTTCTTTGGTTGAAGGTGAGACTGTTGTGACTTTCAATGTTGTTGTGTGATTGGTTGAAGGTGTGACTGTAGTTATGTTGTTTGTTGTTGTGTCATTCAGAAAAGCTGTGACTGTTGCGTTGGATGTTGTTGTTTTATTTGTTAAAGGTGACACTGTTGTGACATTGTATGTTGTTGTTTGATTGGTTGAAACTGAGACAGTTACATTCAATGTCATTGTGTTATTCAGAAAAGGTGTGACTGTCGTTACATTGTTTGTTGTTGTGTCATTCTGAAAGGGTGTGACTGTTGTTACACTGTATGTTGTTGTGTGATTGTTTGAAGGTGTGACTTTGTTAACTGTTACGTTGTCCACAGTTGTGTGGTTTTGTTGCAATTTAGTTATGTTATGTGTGTAACCGATGGATTCAGTTGTCCTAACATTTAAGTTTGAGTCATTAGAGGATAATGTTGTGAAATTTGTTGCGTTTTGCCGTCTTGTAGTTGTGTTTTGTAATTTGCTATTATCAGTGGGTGTCCATACTGTGCTGTTAGATACATTTGCGTTTTGTTCTGTTGTCACAGTAGTCACAGTCATGTTTTGTGAGCTGGTTGTGAGGACTGGCTCTGCTGTCGAGGACTGGGTTCTGTCATGTGTTGCGAGTGGAGTGGTCATGCTGGACTGAGCTGTTACTTGTGATGCATTCTTCTGTTGAATTGTTGCAGAACTTTCAGTTGTTGTTTTAGTTTTCTCAGTAGTGTTGACCACAGATGGTGTTGAGGCCTCAGGAGTTGAAGTGCTTTGTGTAGTTGGGGGGGGCTCTCTCGGGCAGCTTTCGGTCAGAAGTACAGCAAGCCTTTCATTTGCATCACTGAAAAAGAACACATCGAGAAAATGAGGGGAAATACTTCTTCTATAAAGCCAGAACCTTCAATATCACAGACGCTCAATGAACCATTAGCCTTGTGCAGTGAGTCGATGTTCCTTTCTTCATTTGGTTGAGTGCAGATCTAGACCGTCTGACAAGTTAATAGTGGCGTTCTTTTTATTCGTTGGGTGTCGAGTATGGAATTACATCCGCCGAGCAGCTACTTTATTAATAATTTACATTTGCCTCATCCTGACTGATCTATTAAATGTAATTGTGGTCTAAAGGAGTAATAATTCATATTAAATTTAATTAGTAAAAAATCAATAGGGTTTTTACACAAATAATACATTAATTATAAAACTAGCTAGATTTACACTTTTTAAGTGTGGTGGATTGGGGGTGCATGAACCCAGTTGGGATGTAGAAGGGGGTACGTGGCCAAAACAGTTTACAGTTTGAAACATGTTTTATTCATTTACCATTTCGGCAGAGTTGGGGAAGGTTGGCACACATTAGAGAGCAGCAGGTCACTGGCAACCCAGGTTAGGTTGGCTGCCAAAAGATTATTTACAGCCAAACCAGGAGGACCGCATACCACTGAGGAAACAAACAGCACCATCATTAACACAATTAACACAACATATATTTAGCTATAATAGAGCTTCAGAGAAAAATAAACCTGGAGACTAACCCATGCGTGAGACTGGCCTTTCTATCGTTATGTTACGCTCGCTGCCAATGACTTGTTGCAGCAGGTCTTTCAGTGAGCATTCATTGACAGGTCCAGACATCTCCAGTATCACCATGCAGCTGTAGAACCTAGACACCGTAGAAAAATCCCACTTCAGATTCTGGTTTTAATGATGAGATACAGTATGATTTCTTTCTACTTAGCTTCTCTTTGTTAAATGAAAACGTGTGTGTTTTCAACACGGGAAGCTATTCTTTATGTGCATATAAGATCATGTGGACTTAATAGAGACCACGAAGTAACATCTTTACCTCTGTTGTGTCCCGTGGCATTCCAGATGAACACGCTGGATAAAGAAAAGAATTAATGAAGCACGATTAGCAGCTCTTCAACGTGAGGAGACAGACTTTAGTCAGTACTAAACTTTTCTACACAGTAAGATTTACCTGGTAGTTTTTTAAAATGGCCTGGCAGTCTGAGCTGGAAACAAAGAATTGTTCACATGTTGTAATTATAACCAGCTAAACACGTTCACTGTTAGCACTCAGACAACTGTTCAATAAGTGATTCAAAATGCATAGAGACTTACTTTGACGAAGGGTTACACTTGGTGGCTAGATTAGATTCAAACTGTTAAAAGGGTTAAAAGGTCAGTACATATCATGCAAACTAGGGCATGTTGTGAAGACATACTGTGCTGTACATACCAATAGTTTTAGGGAGTTTAATATGACAACGTCACTGTTGATTTTGATTCTTAAGGCAAAAAACTGGCCTGAAGACAGAAAAAGAAAAGATTGTGATGGTTAGCGCATAATACCCTTCTAACACACCTTCAGAGAAACAGATCCAGTTAAAAGGGAAGTTTAATATCAGGGGGAAATATCTGATGCACTCGGCGGCACCCGAGGTCTTTCATTTCAATAGGAAGCTACAGCTTAGCTTAGCAAACAGACGTGGAAATGGCTCTGTGCTGCATTTTTAAGTTTCAATGTCCCATTGTGGCACATGTACGGCACAAAAGATGCTGGCATGTGAACATACAGAGACAGGCAGGAAGGCAGTATGGTGGCCGTGTTCTTACTTGTGGCGCTGCAGAACGCGGTGCAGTCACAAAAGCGAGGTGCCTCACCTGAAGCACAGACAAAACACAGCTACAGCAGCAGAACTTTGTTGAGACATAAAGGGGTCCCGTGGTTTGATACTCACTGCTGCAGGATTCACTCTGGGGTTGTGGCGCTGGGTTGGAGTTGGGCTCAATGAGGGAACTGAGAGAAAGCAAATTTAATGCAGACGGTAAACTTGTACAGATCTATTTCCCACATTTAGATAAACGGAGGCCTCGCTCACCATGTAATCTCGGACTGTTTGTTTCCCAGACAGATTTCATCCAGGGAGGACGTGGATGTACACCTCACAAAGCCGCCACTGGAGGGCTCTACATTCCCACAAATGTTTCGGCCTGCCGACATAATACATATGAGTACGGTAAAAAAAAGAACTCCGCGTGTGTTCTTCTGGGGGGTTTTGTGGGTTAGAGTGTATACACGAGTCTGGGGTGGGGCAATGGATCAATGAGATTCCTCACAAGCAAATAAATACAAATGTCTGTGTGTTATTGTGCCCTTTCACTTCATGTCTTCTTTTTGACACACACACAAATGCGCACACTGTAACTTCACATATGCCATGTTCAAATGAATTTACCTGAATTAAGCATGGGTGGTTCTTGCCGATTTGCAATATACTTTGCCTTTGTGTGTGTATGTGTGTGTGTCTGTATGTGTGTGTGTGTGTGTGTGTGTGTGTAAAATGTCCCTGGACCAAATGTAAGCTTAGTTAGCTAAGTATATATTTTAAACTTAGTAACACAAATGCTTTTTTATGGTCCAATTTCATTAAACCCTGTTTATTAGAAATGCAGGCTTATCATCTTTATTGTGATCTGGTGAGTATTACAATATGGTATTTTTGTATGTAAATGTTATTTCCAGGCTCAAAAGATAGGTGATTGACACAGTGTTGTATTTGTGCTTTTGTGTATCTATTCCAGTCAGCACAAAGGCAAAAAGGTAAATGAATTGAACGCTCACCGACTCTCTCCACCTGTCTGCTGATTGTCACGTTTAATTGTAGGTCTGCAGCTTGCTGCAGTGCCGAAGCTCCGGCCTGCTGCAGAGAACACGCCGGGACGCCTTTGCTGAG